CATATTTTATATTTCATTCATTYATATTGTAACCAAAAGGAAAAAAAAACATTGCTACGAATTTCGTACCCGATGGGTATTTTACAAGCATATAGATACAAAATATTGTTCAGATTTGAAAGATCTGTATTTTAAAGTAGACATTAGTATTATTAATTAAGTGAGGCCTGATCAACCTTACTCAAGCAAAGGACAATACTATTGCAAGAAAGAGGACGCTGGAAGACCGTTTCTTCAGTGGGGGAGAGTGTTAAGTAGATAATTAACAGACTATTGACATACAGTTTAGTATCCTTTTAGTCGTATCGTGTTACACTTCTTAGAGTAATCGCTCGAGCAACACATGTGATATAGTTTTTACGTAACTTGATGGAATAAACGTGGCAAACAACTAAAGAAAAGTAGTGTTACAATCACTCCACAATGAACATATAACATTTCGTAATCACGTTGCATTAAAGAAGAAAAGTCTCCTTTCCAATCACGACAAATCAAATCAATAAAAATATAAATACATTAACATGTCTGGACAAGGAAAAGCAAAGTCGATAAATGACGTATACCCCCGTCAACTATGTACTTACTGTATTCTGTACAAATTGTTTGATAGTGGTCACCAAGGGAAAATTGGTACACAAAGTAACCACCACAATTGCGTATAATGACGTTGTTTGTCAACAAACAGCAACCATTACTATCATAATATTGTCCGCACATCGTCCTTACAACTTTACCCTGAGCTACACTCGGCATGGATCCCTTTATCCAGACCGGGAAATAACCATTACAGGGATATCGTAAAGACCGACGTAAATGTCGGATGCATTCCGTAGAAACTTGATTACCCGCCAGGCCAGCTATGCGATACCATAATGAGACTGAAAGCGTTTTGCCGTCGAATATTTTGGCAGACGAGTCTGATCCACTTTGGTCCCTTCTTCGATCAATACCATCCAAAGTGCTATAATCAAGGCATTCTTTACCCGATTTGACATCTGTATTCATAAGATAATTTTCGTCAGATGAATATTCCAGACATTATTTTTGATAATTTCTACCTTTCATTCTTACTCACCAGGAATACTTTGACACTGATATTTCGTGTATGTGATGTCATGCACTGAAAGTGAGGCATACTCGTCTCCTTTTCCTTCAATTACAACCTTAATCAATTCAATTGATAAATCAATTAGTGATCATAACAAAATAGATATAAAAATACAGAGTACAATCACAAAGATGTGCATCAGTTTGGATGTCAGCTTAAAAACAGAAAACAATGTAATTAGCATAATTTAGAACCGCTTTCTTTTGCTTTTGAAATCTAGTTATGTTTCAAATATAAACAACCAGTCAACAACAAAAAATATTTGTTAAAAAACTGTGTTATACTCTAAGTTATAGTTAACCATAATATGTTAGGTTTTGTATGTACAGTCAACTCCCGCTTTACGGACACCCCTTCATTACGGACACCTTGATATTACGGAGACGAAATACTGAATTCCGGCGAAAAATACAAGGAAATGACTGAAAATGACTTCCGTTATTACGGACTCTCGGTACTACGGACACTAAATTACTGTCTGACGGTGTCCGTAATACCGAGAGTTGACTGCATGTAATCTGTTTATATACATTGGATTCCAAACAATTTTGTCTAAAATTACAGTTAGGAAGAGTCATAAAAATTAAAGAAAAGTATTTGTCACTCTAGTCAGTTTTTATCTCGAGTCAGTTTTTATTATACATTGGATTTCTTCTGGTGCTATTATTAAAATTTGCATTTAATTACGACTGTCTGATTCATAATGCTAGTGTTACTGCAATAACTATCTTAACAAGCATTAGATGTTCTTAAAAAGATTACAATTTATAATATCAAATATTCAGAACGACAGCTTTTGGAGTAACCACAAGCGTATTCTTCGCGTTTTCAAGTACGTCATGGAAAAATACATTTTCCATAACATTAGTCATAAACAAAATTCAAGTAATCCATGTGAAAGAGCGAGTAAGACTCTGTATCTCTGAACAATTTTTCGCTAAAACGAGTTTTATTTGCCAAGATATAAGCAATGTTATATGCCGATCTTTACAAAGAAATGTATGGCGGCACCATACACGTTGAGCATCAAATTATTCACATATAAGTTAAAAAATCATCTCGAAACATAGTTTTATAACTATATTTTAGAGTAAAATCGATTTTAAAATAAGTTTTAATTAATCCTTTTTTGGATCTATGACGTAACGTGCAAACATAGTTAGTATAGTTAGTAGACTAGTCTCCCTCTACTAACTATGGTGCAAACGAAGATCACAAAATTGTTTGTAGAGTTTTGTAAAATTCTTCTTCTTCTATTTAACAAATTTATGATAGTTTCTCGTGGTCTCCTCTTATTTACCACGGGTGCCGTCATCGAATCGTTAATGGCACTTAATAGAGAAATTAGGATTCAAAGTTTACGGCGAAACCCTAACGTCAAAGTGTCTTATATATTTAGGTAAAAATCCTTAGCTTAGCTTGCTTCCAAAGAGTAGTTATGTGCTCATATGCACGAAAAAACAATCAATTGCGAAAACCAAAATAAAACATAGGCAGTCTAGATTGGGGTCCCTGTGGCAAGAAATGACTTGTGAAGTCAATCAGAGCATGCTCGGAATGTTTCGCTTTGCTTAGTGACTGTTTCTTGATCAAATTTCCACCAAATTTCCTGATTTATCGCTCTCATAATACATCAAAATACAATGTCAAGGCTGTATAAGAGAAATATAATTTAAGGCTGCACTAGCAGTCCAGTGCAATTCAACTCGTCTCGCTTTAATATAATAGCAAAATCCTGGTTAAATCGATCAAGATTGCTTATTTAATACAAGTAAGTCTACAACAACAAATTAACATAAAAACGTGCATGGATGCTGAAACGAAGAAATAATATGCACCTGAAGTCAAGAAAACCAGCAAAAGAACGACTTATAGCCCAGACCAGCAGTCGGTCGCGGTCAACAACAAAGCCGCCGTAGGATAAAGTATCATCTGAGTCAAACCAAATGGTTTCGTTTTGCTAATAAGTCGTTCATCTAGTGAGTCTTTGAATTCTAATATTTGTTTCGAGAGTATTCTCTACTTATGAAACGGTGATGTGATTTAGCAMGGCTTTTAAATAATCTTTGTTACAATAATTTTTCAGTTATTCGTAATTTTCGGTTAGCTTGAAATGCACGTTTACGATTGCGATACATTCTCCGAAATAAATACCTTTAATAACTGCAATGCACTCGAAAATTTGTTTTGTCAACAATGATAATGATGGAGAGTCAATAAAAGTACAAAAATATATAAGATCGTATATTTATGGAATTAATTAATTCATATTTAATTAATTCAAATCATATTCCATATATCTTTGATTGTCTAGT